ATGAGAAAAGGGAAATGTTACTTAATAGAGTGGGCCAGCGGGCTCTGTAAGTGCAATTCAGGAAGAGCAGAATGAAGGTGCACCCAACCCCAAGCACTGACCCGAAAAGTACAGAGAGATAGAAGGACATGCAAAAATATTCCTAGCTGGTGGATTGACTGTATGCCTAGGAGAACACTGACAGTTTCTCTGCTAGGAGGATGTTTACAGCCCTGTGACCTTTTCATCAGATGTACATTGCTCTTTCGAAAATACTAGCACTGTTCAATGCATCATCCACTCCATTTGCTTCCTCTGCTGGTCTACAAGGTGGCCTGGCTGTGAGGTGGCTTTCCAGTGACAGGAGAAGTATGGCTACATAACATGGGATAATATTTGGCTGATAGAATCTATTTAAAAAAGAGAGTGCAGCTCTGGCTCTTTAATGTAGCCAAAGAAGAAAATATTTAAATGTCTGATTACTTTTAGGTGAGTTCCACATGTATCATCCTATAAATGAAATTTTAGGAACTGCTTATTTTTGGATTACTCTCTTAAAAAAAGGAAATAGTTGTCAGCAAGAGCTGTATTACAAGCATGTGTTTTCCTTTGGTGACAATCCTAATTGGACCTGTGTCAGGACATTTGTCCTTCACATGGGCTGGGAGGTGACCAAGCACCTGCAGGTTTTCTTCCAACTGTGGGGGACATTCCCGGGGATGCAGCAGGAGAAGAGGTGCCATTTTTAAGCCAGACCAGTAGGCTTAAAAATGTCCCTCTGGGTCTGCTGTTTATGCCAGCACATGGGATGCTAGCATGTTTTTCACTTGCACATTGTGCTGCCCTGTAAAAGGGTGACTCGTATGCCTTTCCAACAGTTTTGCCAGGAGCAGAGTTACTCAGTTGTAGGACTTAGGCCAGAACAAGAGAGACAGAGGATAACATGCTCTACAGAGACAAGTGCAGGGCCGCTGAGCCGCTGTTACAGCACTGGCTTGGAGGTCTTCAGTGAACACTCTCTAAAAGCCAGGTGCCCTCCCCCATATTCCTTTCCACTTTGTATACACCCCAAATTGAAACATCCATTTTTTTCCCCTCCAAGGGAGATACAAGGCAGTGGCTGGCAGTTATTTCTTACATTAGCTTTACTTTAGCAGAGTTCCTGATGTCAAGCAGTCGCAATGGGCCCAACAACATGATGATGGGGTATAGCAACAGCCAATGCACTGGAGCACTTACTCCTTCATGTGAGTCTGGAAGCACAGGAGCTGCTATCCCTGAGCAGATTATCAATCCACCTATTCCCTGGCAAGGGCAAGCACATCATCCAACAGAGGTAGGCCCACCCCCAGCCTTCTACCCCTTCCCAATCTAACCCCCTCCCTTACCTCTCCCAAGTTCTGGTAGAAAAATGCCAGGAGGAGGGCTGTCTGCAGCCTTTCCCGCCTGCTCTGGGAGAGATCCTTGATCTGCTGCTTCCTCTCCAGGATGGCATTCAGTTTGTGCTGGATCTGTAGTCCTTCCAGTCCACCAGTCTTCTCTATCTTGCTTGCCTGTTCTTGAAGAGACATCATCTGAGGAGACAACAAATCTGTAGTTACACCTTTGTGCTTCCAATTGGAGCAAAAGAAACAGCAAAACAGGCTCTTTTCTGTATCTGAAAGATTCTTTTTTTTTCTTTTGTTGTTGGAAAGAACTAAAAATGGCATTTTTAAAAACTAAAGACTGTTGCCATACCAAAAAAAAAAAAATCTTTCCACCTTTTGGATTTATTTGTTGGTTTTTTTTGTACCTTCTCATCTTGTGAAGCCAGAAGTTTCTCAAAAGCCTCATGTTTCCTGATTAGTCGCTCCACTTCATCTACAGAGCTTCCAAGGTCACTGCTTTTCAAATAAATCTACAAAAAAAAAGTTGAATATTTTTCTCAGTAGATTAATTATTGCATAAATTGATTCACAAATGTGAGGAGACATATTAACTCTAGATATAAGGACAACAGTTGAGAGTACACTTGAGAGATGATGCCTGAGGGGAAAAAAAGGGGGAAGAAGAGAAAGAATTGGAAATGAAGTAGTAGAACTCCATGGTATTCAGCAAGAAGACGACGCATTAACAGATCCTACAGAGGAAATTGTCCTGTCACTGCTTATCACAATCACTATATCAAAAGGCAGACAGTGAATTCCTGAGATTCTCTAAACCATCCTTGTATTTCCAAGCAAAATAACACCATCATGCTTACAGATGTCTGTATGGCTTCTTCTTAAAAGACTTCTGATAACAGAGGCTTGGCAGCCTCCCCAGGCAGTGTATTCCTGTGCTTCATTACCTTTAACATTAGCAAGATTTTCCAAATGTCTAAATGGGAAATACACAGCGAACAATTCACACCATTACCTAATGACCTCTTCACCGCAGAAAGGAGTTAATTCTCTTTCACATTTGCTGCAGCTTTATATATATATTTTTGCAAAATGTTTGCCTACTGAGATTTAAATCTTCTCTCAGCTAATCTACCCGGAGCTGGTCAATCTTTCCACATAGGCTGTGTCTTCCTGACCTCTCATTATTCTCATCATTCTCTGGTGTTTCTCCATTTTCATTGGAAGTAAATGAAGTTTTTGGAATGCAAGCTTTTAGGCAGGGTTCTTGCAACGTGATGTAACACTCCAGCTGAGGCTGTCTAATGGTGAAGGCAGCATGGAAATTACTTCTGGTGCCTTTTGAACCATAATCTTCTTCATGCATCTGTGTATGGTGCTTATCTTTTACGCAATGCAATGAACTTACTGACTCACATTCGCCTTGCAATCTACTATAAACCTCCAAAACTCTTTTTTTTTTTTTCTGAACTGCTGTGAGACCAGCTTATTCCCATCCTGTATTTATGCAGATGATTATTCCCGAACAATGTCATAGCTTGCACTTGTACTGAGTGCACAACATCTGTTTTATTTTTTCAGGGCATATCTCTGACTTGCTTGCATTAATTTTATTTACTGTCAATCTCATCAATCTCTAATTCAGGAAGAGCCTAAAATATCAAGAACAGTTTTTAAGGCAACTGACCTCTGTGCTACTCTGCTACTCATTTCTAACACTGCTAAGACACTTGATAACTAACCCATGTACATCTCTAAGACACCACACTGCATTGCCCACTTCCCTGATTTCAAAAAAAGCATCTTGACTGCTTGATTTTTTCTCCCACACATTCTGCTACTAGTTAATGTTTAATCAAATGCAAAAATAATAAACAATGAAGTCATCTATTCTCAACAAAAAATAAGCTTTTTTTTGCCAATAGCAACTTACTCTTCCCTGGGTTATCTAATCACACAGAGGTTTCTCTCCCTATTTAATGAAGAGAAGATGCAAAAACAGTTATCAGTAAGAGGCTTTGATGAGGCATGAGCAAAAACTAGCTGTGGACATGGTTCACAGTGGAGCAAATATGGTTGAACAGACATTTGGAGTTCAGGCTGCTACCCAGGACTGACTTGTAGGCTGGGACATAGCACTGGGTGATCCATTTTGTGAGCTAATGGAGCTGTGTCTCCAATGAGGATGAGGACTTTCAACCCGTAACTCTGTCCAAGTAAAGTGCAATTAGCAAAGACAAGAGACAACATCGAGACCAGCCATACAGTGTGAGAGAATTAAGAGGCAGAGGAAGAAACAACAGAATCAGTGAAACAGCAGAAATGCCAGTATTCTAGGAAGCCTGGTAAAAGGTATAGGTAAATCTATGTCTCAAAAACATATGTGCACACAGCAAAATAACAGTATCTAAAGAGAGATCCCTTGCTTTGCAAAACATTCCTATTCTGTAGCAGTCTGATGGGTTTTTCTTTTTTCTTTTTTTTTTTTTTTACAGGAGAGAAAAGATGTTCCTCAGTTGCTGCTTTAGAAAACCAGTGATGACACTAATTGTACAGACAGAAGTATTATATGACTTTTTAATTCCACAGAGCATCTTCTAAAGGAGAGGTTTACCCAACATGTTGTGTGTGCAGCAGGATCTATACCTACCTATCGGGCCCAAGTGCACTTACAGGCCTTGGTAGCCCTGCTGGCCCACTGACCAGTCCCCCTGCCCTCCACCCATGGGCCTGGGAGCTCCCCTGAGGCTCAGCCCCAGCCCTGCCTGAGCTGACACACTGATGGGTCCTCCTGCACAGATCCCAGACCTCACACATCACCTTGTCCCATCACCTTGATCATCAGCCTGCTGGACTCTGTCACTGGTGCCACCACCCCTACCCACAGCTTGAGGGCTGTAGCGAAGAGGAGCGACAGCCAGATGTAGCCCGACTCTCCGGTTCCTCTCTGGAGGTTGATATGAGAGGAATATTTTGCACATACAGAAAAATGCACAGAAGAGTTGCTCAGTCGAGATGTGCAAACTGCACTACACTAATCCACGATGAGCGCTGGAAGAGAAATAAGGAAGTGCCGTCACCACAGTCACTAGCAAGGACAGGGTCATGGTACAGTGGACCTATATTTTTAATAAGTCTGGCCCATTAATTATCAAGATGCATAAAGGAAAACATTATCATTAAAGCTTATTTAATGTTACATACAAAGGCCATTGAAAGGACGATATTTGGTCATTCAACCTTTAATTCTTTCATCTTTCCTATTCATTAAAGGTAAGAGAATTAAGATGGACTATTTTTCTGAGCGTTTTTTGTTTTTTGGGGGGGGGGCAGGGAAGAGGAGAGAGGTTGGTTTTCTCTAGTGAAGAAAAAACTTCATACTTGTGGGCTATAGGTCTGTCTATGGTATTGCTGTATTATGCCATTTATATTTAACATTGTTGTGAATAACATTGCGATAAAATGTCGGCCTGCATAGATTCACTCCTGTTTGTGCTACATTTTACCCCAGCATAGCCACTTACTGCATCTCTATGCTTGTGCTACAAGAGCTTCTGAAGAGGCATTAGACTTTCTTTGTTGTCTGTTGTGGATTATCTACCACCTCGGACCCAAAAAAATGATTTACCTGAGAAATCGAAAATACCCCTAATTTTCTACATATCACTCCAGAACCATTTTCTCAGTAACTGTTAGCAACAGAACTGTGAAATCCATGCTACACAAAGAAATGATCAGCCCTTAGTTTTCCTGCTCAAATTTCCATGGCGAAAGAAGGCGGCAAAGGACATATACTGGAAAAGACATTTTTCTTTCTCTGAAAAAAATGAACAGAGACATCTGAGAGCAGGGGTGTGGGACAGTGAGTCATAGTCAGCTGCCACAGGAGCACTCGGTGCCTTGCTGCTAGTGAAAACCATGGTACACAAACAACATTGAGCATTCAGAGTGCCATCCCAGAGCTGTAACCACACTGGAGAAAGTTCTTCTGACATCTAAAAGCTTTAGACCAGGTCCTTCAAGCAGAAGCTCTTACAGAGCTAATACTCTGGGATCAAGGTTTTAATGCTGGGAAAGAAAACCAGCACATTACTGCATCAGCTACGGCAACGCGCCTGGGGGAAAGCAGTCCCAGTAGCACTAACAGGACTACCTGGGGAGTTGAGGAGGTAAAAACTTCTCATTCTACTTTTTGACAGAAACCTTTCTAGAGCAAATGCTAGAATCAGAGCTGCAACATTTTTTCATCGAAGCAATCGTTATAGCAATCTGAAAGCCGAATGGAAACCAGCTCCCACACAATGATGTTGGCCATAGACCAATTACATCTTTTTTTTTTTTTTTTTTGGCATAGAGGATAGCCCCAAACTCCTGCTTTGAATGTAATACATTAATGTCAAAAAAAAGCACTGCATACTCCTCAGGTAACCTATGAGGGTCTCCTATGGCACATAGCACGTATAAACTTTCTTTCAAAGTTATGTTATGAATCATGGCCCGTCATCAGGAATTTATATCTCAGCCACAAAAGCACTGAGGACCTGACCACTCACTATATGATGTGCTTGTTCCTACACGAAGACTTGCAAAGGCTCTTAAAACCACAAAATGCAATTGCCCCTTTTTGAAATGGAACATATAACAAATAGTAGAGTTACTAAAATTGCAAGTGCAGAAACAAGCAGTGGTTTCCAGTCTATACCAAATGAGGATTTTCACTATTTCGGAGCTCATTGTGTAGACTCAGCTATGCTGTCAATACGGTAAGACCTCTTACGTAAGAGTTAATGCAGAATTAACTATAAAGTCCACCTCAAAACAAATGTTCATTTCAAATAAAGCAGTGCTATATATACACTTACATGACAGTACAGGCCAGTTATAGCTATTACAGAAACACTGAATGAAACATTTTAGTCATTAGGCTAAGTATGCTCTCTGCATGCCACAATTTTGCATTCACACACACGGGCTGGACAATAGTACAGCCCCAAGACTTCTTGTCTTCCAAGAAGTGTCATTTTTATTTCTGCAGAAGAAAAACAATTTTAAGTATGTGCGCGAATTCTCTCTCTTCTCCAGCTTCTGTTCTTCCCAGTTTAACAAGCTCCACATATTTCGCCCCCCACTGCCTGTGCTGGGCTTGCTGCTGAGATCGCTGGAACTTCAGTGAAAACCGTTCAGCTCTAAGCACGTACCAAAGGCCAGAAAAAGTCAATTACTCCCAGATTTAAAATGCCTTCGCTCAAAGCATGCGTCAAGTCCAAATTCGCTGCCCAGATAAATGGTAATAACAGCAAGGTTTAATTTGACCTTTTTCTGATAAATGTAAATGCAAAAAAAAAATCAATAAAAAGAACAAATAAATTTGTTTTAGCAAAGAAAATAAATGGGCTTAACACCATGATTATATATAGTTTGCAATATTGTCCTATGCTTCATGACAGTAAAAGTTATGGTTACAGCATTGTACGCTGTTACAAATGAAATAAAACACACCAAGTTGTTTGAAAAC